TCTGTGTAAAATCAATAAAATGTATTTCAAAAAAAAAACAACTACTTACTATGGTACTCATGAAAAAAGGATTAAGTTTGTTTATTCATTAATTTGCTCAGTAAACATCTATATAAACAGTGTGTAGTAGTAAATATAAGAATTAAAAATATCAACTAAGATACGATTCATTAAAAATGTAAAATTTTGCCTAGTTGGTGTTGTTCAGTGGTTGAGCATCGATCGACCCATGAACCCAAAGGTCACAGGTTTGATTCCTGGTCAAGGCACATGCCTGGGTTGCAGGCTCAATCTCCAGTGCAGGGGCATGTGTTCAATGATGTTTCTATCTAGTCCTTTCCCTTCTCTCTCTAAAAATCAATTTTTTTAAAAAAACATATTTTTTTAAAAATGTAAAATTTCTCTGGAGCAAAATCTACTATGAGTAACGTCAAAAGTAAGAAAAATTATTTGAGACATGTAGGAATGATAAGGCAATTTTTCATGATATAAATACAGAATGTGTTTATAAATCAATAAGAAAATGTTATGGAATTCAATATAAAAGGGCAATGGTTTGAATACACAATTCACACACAAAAAAGAAAAACAAATAAACAATATTTGAAAATATATACATCCTCAATCTCATTCATAATGAAAGAACTGGAAATAAACAAGAGCCCCCAGTACTCTCCAATAAGCCAAAGTATGAATTAGTTTTCCACTTCCAAAAATTGGCAAGAAGGGGGAAATGGGCACCCTAATACTTTCCTTGGGAAACTGTAAAATGCTGCAACATCTAAAGGAATTAGCCTGTTGTCTGTTGCACAGTAGAAAGCAAATAGATATTAGATAAATGGAAAAAAATGTAAGTTCACTCTCACAGATGCTGTCCTCATACATATAATTTGATATACTTTTGTAAATGTAAGCAAATTAATTAACAATCAAATTAATTTCTGACATTCAGATTCAGTGCTTTTTAACGAGAGCCAGAATTAGTAATGACACTTGGTGTCATTACTTGAACAGGATCAGTAAAGTCTTGCAGAGATCTCATCCTCATAGATTTATCAAGACTGAGAAAGTTCCCAGCCTCCTCCCCCTTCCCCAGGCAGAATAAACAAGGTGGTAGACAACAAAAAGAACTGACCTACCAATAGAATCAGTTTCTGATGCCCAATATCTCAAGCCAAAGGTAACTCTTGGACATAGAGTATGAGTGGATTAGAGGGAGTCACCCAGGTAATAAATGACAAAACCCGAACTAAGATAAGAACACAAGCTATAGCCAAAAGATAGATTTGGGTGAGACCAAAGATATCACTGTATGGATGTGCAGGTATGTATTGTAAAGCATCTAAGTGACTCCCAAATTTTTTACTTAAAAAATCAGATGATGATGCCCCATAACATTGAATTGAAAGAAGCGTGGTTCACAAGTTTGTCTCTTAACCCAGAACTCCTGAGTTTAACTCCAATTTTTGTTGCATTCCAACTATGTGACCCTGCCCAAGTTATTTCATTTCTCTTTGCCTAGATTTCCTCAAATCTAAAATAGGAATAATCAGTGTCTACTTCATAGGGTTACCTGGGGATTAAGTAAATTAATATCTTAGTGCTTATTATCAGTGTCCAGGATAGTGCCAGGAATATAGCAAGTGTAATATGTTTGTTAGATTATTAATAGTGTTAGTTTAAGGATTTGAAACATTTATCTTTGTTGAAAATTCATGACAACAGCTCATGTGCCCATATTTGTCCTCAGGACCACGGACAATGAGCACAATGATGACAAAGGCCACGATGCACTCAGAAGGAGACTGTGGCGCAGCTGGAATCCGTTCTTGCTCAGTCAGGGTAATGACTGGAGAGCTCCAAAGTGAACACACATTTTGTGAAAACAGCTCTCTTTGTCCATGTGCTATTGTATCTCTTATAGGCAGAATGTACCACTACCCCCCCCCCAATAACTGTTTCAGACAAATAGTATATTTAGGATGCTCTAAATATCACTTGAATATTGTCAATCCCTCCTCATGTTTTGCCCTATCCTCTCTACCATTTTCAGCCTACAGCCCTACTCAAACTCTTCCTCCTTCACTAGCTATTTTATGGCAAAGTGCTCTCTCTCTTTTGACCTCATAACAATGAGAACTTACATTAGTCCAGCCAGCCATTCTTATATGAATCTATCTTTTTGTTTTATACACCTCATTTTCAAACTAAATATTAAAAAAAAAAAAAACTTGAGGTGGGCAATGAGGATACAATCTTCTACTGCTTTGTTACCCCTGTGGTTATTTTCTGTAGTATAATGCCCAGTAGATGTCGCATAAATATATATTCATTGGTTGAAAGATAGCTGTAGCTTTCCTCAATGATAAAGACAGAGGTAGGATGAGATTTAATGGAATAGTAAAGAATTAAAACAAATATTCTTAGAGGCAACTTCTAAAAGGGTTTGCCCTCTAGTCAGTATAGGTTAGTTCTTATCTTCACTGGTTACAAACCTCAAGGTCATTCCTTTCTCATAGACTGTATTACCAGGTTCATAGGTTTCCTCTCCATCCTCCCCCTAGTCATCATCCTTAGAGCTTCAACATTTACCACATATCCGGCCTCATAGTGAGTACCTTACCTACTTAACCCTAGAAATCTTAATTCATTCTCTACTTGTTTGCTAATACATTTTTATCACACCAACTTTTTTTTTTAATTAACCTAACAATAACTTGGCAGTTGTTTTACAATAATGTTTTAAAATATGAAATCTAGAGTTATTCAAACTTGCTGAAACCTCTATTCGGGAACTTACTAGTTATATAATACAGAACAAGTCAGGTAACTGTTGAGAGACAATTCTCCATAGCATTTCTGTACATCTTATAGCCTGTTTAATTCTGCGCTATCTCTACAAGTATGTTGGTATAGCAAACGGCCTTGGAAGATATGAAGAGTATCTCCCTCTAGGATGGAAGGCAGATTTGTTTTCTGACCAAGATAATAAAGATACTGTCTCCTTTTGAGACAAATGTTAAGCAGGTTTGCTAGCAGCCTCTTATAAGATTGGAGGATTCCTAAATTTAGAGTTCTCAGCAATGACACAACTCCAATATAAGCAGCATTCAACAGGGCCACTCTGTATCACCCCAGTGGGACTTAAGGGGAAAAGGACCATGAAGCTTTGCCAGCTGCCATGAGTAATGAGGTCACTTCTGCTAGCATCCATGAACATGTGACTGGCTAACTTCTTAGCTTGTGAGAAGGGTAAGATCTTGTGAGAAGTTATTATTCTTGATAATAACTTCTTTATGCCTCAGCTTCCCTTACCTGTAAAATGGAGGGGGTGTTTAGAACCAGCCTGAGCCTCAACGGCTGGACTCTTCAACAGTATTTGGTGACTTACCGTCTCCTTGCCAAACCAAAGTTCATGTTTTCCAACTCAGCTCTTGCTGGTGACTCTGTGACATTGACACCATAAATCATTCTCTCCTCCTTGAAAGTTTCCGATCCCTAGTCTGTGAGTCTGAATTAAACTTGTTTTCTTCATACATTTCTCTCTTTCTTTAAAAAAGTGATTGTTCCTAACATCCATTCAATTCACACCATCACAAGCACCATTTAAATAAATGGTGGAATTTATTTATATTCCCCCAAACTGACTGAACAGACAGCAAAGACATGAATAAAAGCTTGATGTTAAAAAATAATAATAATAAATAATAATAATAATAATAATAATATTATACAGGGTGGAACAATAGTAGGTTCACAGTTATGTGTATGCAAAACACAAAAGTTTATTCTTTTTGTTATTAATAATTATATTATTTCCCACACAAACAATGATAAACCTACTTTTGCCCCACCCTATGTAAAATTCTAAAGGCTTTTAAGTTGGAAGCAGACATCTGAGGAATCTATATGCCATCCTGAAAAGTCACACACACCTAAAAGGAGAATGTTTTGCAAATGTCCAAAGACAGTCCTAAATTTCTACAAAATGCTCATTAACAATACAGTAACAGAAATCCAAGTTTGTATTTAATAGAGGAAGGAAAAAGCAGAAATCATAATGATGGGGTGGATGGAGTCAAAGGATCTTTATGAAAAGGAGTTAAGAGAAACCTAGAAAATCTTGAGTCACTCAATTATGTGGATGCAAATAATAGTAATTCTCTGATATATAATCTTAATTAAATATTTGCAAAAAATTACTGAAAAGAAAACAAGAGAAATGGTGGTTGTAAGCTATGTGGCCAAATGACCATGAAACACAGGGAGGAATGACAGAAAGAAGACAAACTTTTACCATCAACAGATCCCAGGGAATCTCAGCTCCAGCTTTCAGTGGTTTTAAGAATTTGTGATGTAGTACTTTCAACAATAAAGATTTTTAAATTTTTAAAAATTGCCTGGCTGGTGTGGCTCAGTGGTTGAACATCGACCTATAAACCAGGAGATCATGGTTTGATTTCCAGTCAGGAAAAATGCCTGGGTTGCAGGTTTCAACCCTAGTATGGGTGTGACAGGGGCAACCAATCAATGATGCTTTCTCATCATTGATGTTTCTGTCTCTTTCTCCTTTCCTCTCTGTAATCAAAACATATATAATTTTTTAAAATTTTTAATTTTTAAAAAGGAACTCGCATTAGTTATTTAACTTCACCAAACTTCTATTTACTCACTTCCCAGATGGGGTAAGACTATCCACCTTGAGGAATTACTGATGGGTTACCTCAATAAACTGTATCTATGGTAAGTATAACTATTGTAAGATTGAAACACTGAAGAATTGCCTCTTCAGATATTAATAAAAGAGCTGATGGACATTTCTAGATATTTTCTTAAAGACACAAAAGTGTATCATGAGGTACTATACTCACCAAATAGAGCAATAGAGAACTTCAACTCTGGTTTCACAAAAACTCAAGGGGCAGAAAATTCCTTGGTGTCAGACTTGTCTGACTCAGTGCTGGTCTTAGAAATCCACTTACTTGATTTGATGAACGTACCTGTAGCAGGAAGTCGAAGAGGGCCATCTTGGACCACTCGTGGTGATGCACCGCAGTACAGCCCCACTCGGGTCTGGGTGTGCGGCCGTTCTGCCAGCACTTCTGCTTGAGCAGCCGCTGGTAAGCTCCCCACGTGAGCTTCACAGAAGAGTGAGTCTCATTACTTGTTGGAGATAAAGATGGATCCCAGAGAATAACAGGACAGGGGCGGCCATCTAGGGAATTAAAAAACAAACAAACATGTTGTTAACGTGCGACTGTTGAGTGAGTGTGTCCTTGGGCAGTCACACACTGTCACAGCTTCATGCTCTCCCCTGTCCAATGCCAGAGTGCGATTAGGTAATATGTTATGATCCCTTTATCTTTTGAGGCTTTAATATTCTATACCTCATTGATGCCTCCTGAGATAAGTCTTATAAAATGAAAGGTATTGGTAGACAATAAGAAATTATTTTTTTAAATAGGCTACTTTAAAGATGTGGCATTAGTTGGCCACTAACCACCAATAAGAACGTCCTCTGGTTAATGTGGTTTTATTCCACATCTAAAAGTAAGCACCACAAAAAAGGGAAAAAATCCAGACACGTATAATTGTCTATTCAGTATCTGAATGGAACTGCTTTCTATTTGTAATAACAATTGTCTGACTTTCTGAGGCTGCTTTATGATGTCAGGAAGAAAAAGAATTTTCAGAAGTCGCAGATTTAAAAGTGAAATTGTATGGTTCACAACCGACACCACAATCTTCAAAGAAAAAGAAGCAAGAGTGTGTTTTTTCTTTTTTGATAGAAACATCAGTACTCTTGGTAATAGATCATTTACTCACATGTAACCTCACAAAGTGTATTTAAGCAAATGTCATTTCTTCAACTGCATGGGTATAGGTGATTTTTCAAAAAAAAATCTGTCATTTGAATTGTTTTTGCCTCACTTTGGATAGTTTTAAAACTTCATTGCTAAACTGCATCAAAATGACAAGCCTGACCGAAGTCACCATAAACAGGGAAGACCATGATAGGTTCCACTGGAGGACACTTCAAGCTCAGAACCAATGCCATCACTCCCAGGCCCCTGTTTCTGCTAAATAAAGTCACTAAGAGAAGACATGAGCAGCTCTGCTTATAACTCAGACATCAGAATGACACTCGGGGAAAGAAACAAAAAACTAAGTCACAAAGATGTGAAGAAAAAAACAAAAACAAAATACTTAACTCATTATTAACAGGCCTGGAAAACAGAAGCCTCTGAAATTATGAATGGAATGTCTAGACACATCACGGGATTTTTTTAAAAGCCATCTATAATAATAAAAGCATAATATGCTAATTAGACCAGACAGCCTAACAGCCTTCCGGACAAAGCTGCAGTGGCAGGGGCTGTGGCAGAGGCAGGTAGGGGTGATCAGGCAGACGGCAGAGGGGTTAAGGGCAATCAGGCAGCCAAGCAAGCTAACGGTTAGAAGCCAGCGGTCCCAGATTGCTAGCGGGATGTCTGACTCCCAGTTGAGGCCCGGGATCAGGTTTAAACTGGCAGTCAGACATCCCCTAAAGGATCCCAAATTGTGAGAGGGTACAGGCTGGGCTGAGGGACCCCCTACCTCCACCCTCACCTCACTCCCTCACCCCCATGCACCAGGCCTCTAGTTTAAAATAACCTAAGAGTCTCTCAAAGTATAACTGGTTTCCTTTTCGTTAAAGACTTTTGTTTTCCCACCTTGCTTGCCTGCTTCTTGCTGAGTTTTTATCACTGGTCTGAAATGCAGGAATTCGTCATCTTCTCTAACCACTCCTGAATTTGGGGTTACACTGACCTCAATATTTTAACAGCATCCATTTAATCATTCTAATCACCTGTACTCTAGTTTTGTTCAAAAGAAGAAAATCTTTATCCTCTGAGCCTTGAAATTTAGGCCAGGGCATGTGAAAAGAGCTTTAGATTGTGGGAAATATGCCACAGTCATTGACATACAATTTAAGAGAGGGAAAAAAAAAAAAAAAAACATGAACCATAAATAAAGAACTTCATTTTTAACATTACCACTCTCCTTTTTATTTTTATTTATTTTTACTTTGTTAATGATTCGGGGCTCCTGGGACCTAATTATCTTCTTAGATATAATATAAATCTAATTGTAAATGTATTACTCCAAGTATTATGCCAATTTAAAAAATAATAATATGTTCCAGATAAAAGCAGTCTCTCACGCAGTGAAAGATACATGTAGACCAGTATAAGCAAACATGACCAAAGACACAACACAGCTTTCAAAGAGACAGGAACACTTCAGACTTCTGAAGATGAGCATCAAGATGCTCTGTCAGACAGAGTCTTTGGACCAACGTGACACACAGACATCTCTCTGCATTCTCAGTGCTAGGAAGTATTCAAAGCAAGTTGAAACCTAATACTGAAGTTTAACAACACAAGCCAACACATAAGGCAGACAGGCCAGAACAGTTTCCTCAGCCATTCACTTAAGACCCTCAGAGAAAGAAGGAAATTATCAACATCAACAATTGAAATCATTGACAGCCTTCTGGGCTGTCTTTCTTTTCCTTTGGAAACATTTGTTTCTTATTTTCAAAGTAATTAAAAGCTACTTATTTAAATAAAAATAAAAAAATAAAAAAAACAGAAAACCATTAAAACGTATAGCTAAGGAGACAAAAACCATCTATCATTTCCTACCCCAGTAAGTTCTGTTATTTGGATATTTACCTCTGGGAGTTTCCCATCCCTTTCTTTCTCACCTGAAGGACAGGTAAGAAAATTAAGCTTGTTTTTAGGTGTTGAAGGAGTATAGCTTATGGTTAGAGCCCAGCCTCTGGAGTCCATCAGACGTTTGCAATTCTGGTCACATTACTTCTTAGCTTTGTAACAGTAGACAAGTTATACAATCTCTCCTAGCTCTTCTCTTCTGTAAAATGAGAGTAATAATGTACCTTCCAAAAGGACTCCGTTAAGCTAACGGGGTTCTCACACTTAAAATTATCAACCTGGTACCTAACATATTTGCATATCTCAGAAAGATATGCTATGATTATTATTACATATATACATTTTACAATTACATAATTCATCAGTCTTCAACTGGCCTTTATTTGTTTATTGAGCATCTACTCTATGCCAAGCATCATTCTAGACTTGAAATAATTAATGCATTTTTTTTTCTTTCATAAAACTTACATTTCCACCAAGGGAAAGGCAACAATTATGCATAGAAAATAAACTATGTAGGATCATCTTTTATAAACAGTTTGTTATGCTTATTTCACTAAATATTATATCATAGGCATGCCTCTTAAAATAAAATATTTTTAAATAGAATCACTTGACGATACAGTGATCTAACCCAGCGGTCAATAAACTTGGTTAAAGGACAGATAGTAAATATTTGAATCTTTCAGGGCTATGTGGTCTCCATTGCAACTATTCAACTGTGCAAGTGTTCAACTGTTGTAGCATGAAAGCAAAGAAAGGCACTATATATCAATAAATGGTCTTGGTTCTGCTTCAATAAAACTTTATTTCCAGTGTCATAGTAATATTATTATTATTTTTCCCCAACCATTTAAAATTATAGAAACCATTTACAGCTTACAAGTCATACAAAAACAGGCAGTAGGTCTTTGTCCTGTTCTAGTCTATAAGTACATTGTATTTCCTTTACCACTTCTCTACTTTAGATCATCAAATTTATTGAATGGCACATTTTCTATACGATTGTTTAAAAAAGTTGTTTTCTGACTGCCAAAGGAAGGGAGCTTTTAGCTGATAGGAATACAGCATTTTCAATTAATATTCTGTTTTACTCTTCATCCATCCATGGTCCCTCAGCAAAATATTTTGAATGCTATCACATGAAGACAATCCATCCTGCCTAGCTGGGGAAAGGAGATTTCCAAGAAGAAAAAGGCAGAGTGAGCAGAATCCTGCACTCTGAGCGGTGGGCGGCTAGGGGGCCTTTTAATCCACAGGTCTTCTTGCTCTGTACCAGCACACATGGCCAGTGAGAATATGACAGCAGTCAGCGGGCTCCTGACCTCAGAGCCTTGAGGACTACTGTGAGCATTCCACTTTTAGAAAATCTGGCTGTTAAAAGAATTAACTAAACTTTGCTAGATTTGAAGCGATGACAGACAAATTGCCCCTGAAAACAGAAACTGGTTACAGCAACTTACCCCAAAATTTTCCAGAAATGAGGAGCATTCATCTCTTCACGTTCAAGTCTGTCAAAATGACGCAGAAATGTACTCTCCAGAGAAATAGTAACAGTGCAGAGATAAAATTCTAACTGTCGGCATGGTGCGGAAGCAGGTTTTAAGAGATATGTGAGTTAAAGGTGACATAGTTGTCTATAAAAAATGAGTCTGCCAGGAAATCTATCACCCCCCCCCGCCCCCAAATCTGACTATTTTCCATGTATTTTAATATTCTCTCAAGTTGCTCTTTACTCAAAAGCACAAAGAAGACATTCTTTCCAGAAGATAAATGTGAAAACTCACTGAGAACGAATGCTATACACAATCTCCTTTGCTTCCTGTGAAATGCCCTTCACTTTGAACACCAGCTGACTGGCTTTGTTGAGCTGTAGGTGGATGCTCAGCGTGTTAGGAGGGCTTGTGAATGTCTGTCTGTGTTTGTCACTGAGCAAAAATAAGTAACAAATAGCCTGAGCACTGAAATCGAAAGTGTTTTACTGTCACATGGGCCAAGTTCCAAGACTCCTTGTGAACAGACCAACTCAGATCCTCCATTAAAAAGAACTCTACAAAAGCCACTGATGGAGACAAGGGCCAGTCAAATGCGAGGCTCATCTCTGTTCAAGGGAACAAATCCTATCGGGTTCCAGTGCCACTGTCCGGCGCATTGCAGGAAAATCTTAATGTTGCAGCTCTTTAAGACTGATAAAGGCAATTAATTGCTGACGGTGATGCAACTCTGATGATCATGTAGCAGGTGTCTAGTTGTTAGCGATCCCTTGAGTACTATCCACTCTATTTTCCAGCATTAGGATTTGGGCAATTAAAAGTATTCGACCAAAGGGGAAATGAAGGCCAGAGCTTTTGGTGCAGAGTTGTTGAAGGGGAACAAGTTAGTTGATGCAGGCCCTGGGAAAAGGGGAATTCTGAAACAGCCAGGGGGAAGGAGCAAATTAGGTGAAATTTTACTTCTGGTCAAGGTTTTAAGTATTTTTATTTAAAAAATAAAAGTA